ATCCGCACAAGTGTGAAGAAACTATGTGTATGAATGAACACTGCAGAACAACTCATTTCGGGAGCTTTCCTGTTACAGAAGAGGTGCAAACATCAGCAAAGAGCCAAGATTGACCTCAGAGGCAATCAAATACTAATATTTCACTGAACTCATAGGCCGGTTAGACCACAAAACCACAGAACCTCCTCCCATTTCCAGTAAACGTCTCGGTAAAGGGGAAATAGCCATGGAACCTGTGTCCCTTCACCTCACTCCTGATTGCTTACATTTGCTACTCCACCTCACCTGCTCACATTCAGTTGCCTTTCCATTGACTGCATTGCCGGCTACCATATAGATTCCCAGCAACTAAGATTCATGTCATCAAAATTTTAAACTGTGAATAACTGTTTAAATGCTAACAAAACATTGATGAAATTATTGCATTTCAAGCAAGTTCACAGATCCCTGAAGAAAGGTTGAAGGGCAATGATGAATGTTGCAATCTTCCTTCAAATTATGGATGCTTCCCAGATTAAAACACTTCTTCACAAACTCAGGGGAAATGGAGCCCTGAACCGAACAGCAAGTTGAGTACACCCCTGATTTGTAAATCTACGTGACGCGTAACCATTCTCGATCAGGACAAGAGCGAAGATGGCCTAAATAAGCACTTCAAAACTATTATCACCTGCCACCCCCTCTCATGAGGAGTGCAATCAAATTTCAACATCAAATAGCGGTACAATTCAAAGGAAGGAAGGCTGGTCACTTGTGACTGCCACATTGAGTCAACAGCCTTTTCTGTGTCTTGAAAAGGCGGTTTGGATAATCACAGGTCAATTTCTACTTTTAATCGGATCACCTCGCCGACTTACTCTGAGCTGCCAATACCTCTTGTCGCCGCCCAAACGCAGCGCCGCCAACGAAGTAAACAAGGGCCGAAAATCGAATCCTAGGCAGGCATTCGTGACCTGCAATACAAATGCTGCTTGCAAAGTCGTAGCGTGTAGAAAGTCGCCACCCACCTCATAACAGTCGCATCGCAACAATTGAAACACGGCCTTGCGGCCAGATCAATCCCCATATCAAGATATTTCTTAGCATTTCATACTATCTAGTTTGGGACCCTGAGGGTCGGCTGTTCAAACAGCGAATCGGCCGACCGGCCGCGACACAGGAAGTATACTGATTGGTCGCTAGTCTGGCGCTGAAGCGAGCGACCAACTAAAAATCTTAGGATAATTTTGTCGCCGGGTGAGGATGAAACCTAAAAAAATATACCATGGCCCCGTAGAGTACGGTAGTCTCTACAAAAAGCTTTGCTTGTGTTGTGTGGTGAAATGCGTTATCATTGAGGCATAATATCTGTGTATGGCGGCCTCATATTAGTTGCTGCAGGGAATGCTGCATTACTTTCTCGTGGCTCTTACTAAAGCTTTCTGTCAAAAGCACTTTTGGTACCAAGCTTCCCGTGAGTGTGCACATTTATGTCGCCAACCTTATCCACCAAGTCGAAAGATTTTACCATCCCTGAACTTGATACCTATGTCAATGAATGTCTGGGTAACACAGAATCTAGAATCATCAACATAAACAGGACATGACGTTCGTGGCTGGACATAATGAGGTTTTTATCTATTCATGAACAACAAATGGCATATGCAATCTGCTTCTCTTGACTTTAACAACCTCAAAAGAAGTCGAACTCTTGAAAGACTTTCTGCCGCTCCGCCGGACACTGGAGACAAACACGCCTCCTCGTATCCGCCATACGAACATCGCTCGGCCTTTCAAAAGGCGGGCCTACATGACAAGTCCCTTCCGTAACATCTCTCGGTCCGTCAGTGGTCAGGCCTTTGAGACCATTCTCTTCCGTAACATCTCTCGGTCCGTCAGTGGTCAGGCCTTTGAGACCATTCTCTTCCGTAACATCTCTCGGTCCGTCAGTGGTCAGGCCTTTGAGACCATTCTCTTCCGTAACATCTCTCGGTCCGTCAGTGGTCAGGCCTTTGAGACCATTCTCTTCCGCAACATCTCTCGGTCCGTCAGTGGTCAGGCCTTTGAGACCATTCTCTTCCATAACATCTCTCGGTCCGTCAGTGGTCAGGCTTTTAAGACCATTCTCTTCCGTAACATCTCTCGGTCCGTCAGTGGTCAGGCCTTTGAGACCATTCTCTTCCGTAACATCTCTCGGTCCGTCAGTGGTCAGGCCTTTGAGACCATTCTCTTCCATAACATCTCTCGGTCCGTCAGTGGTCAGGCTTTTAAGAACATTCTCTTCCGTAACATCTCTCGGTCCGTCAGTGGTCAGGCTTTTGAGACCATTCTCTTCCGTAACATTCTCGGCCCGTCAGTGGTCAGGCTGTCGTGACCAGTCCATTCCATAAGTCAACCCCGTCACGCCTGATTCTGACGATACATTTAATCAAGAGTCCTGATTTATTTTCCATCGACTTTCAGCAGGGGTATTTGCGCTCGTCACAATGCACTTTCGCTTGTTCAGTGTAATTTTCGTTCTTTGGCGCTTCACCGGACACTTCACATTTCAAATATCTCCTTTCCAGGTTCTGTTCGTTCACAAGAAACATTGCCACTGCTTCCCCTCGCTCCGAGCTCTACACACTTCCTGCAGCATCCTCTCAGTGAGTGCCAAATGGGGCCGAGGTCAATGACTTGACACAGCATGCGAATCTTTTCCTCGCTACCAGCATAGTTCAGTATCAAACGCTGCTCTTCATTCAGACAATACATGGCGGCGGCGGACAATACGTGATATTTCCCATGATCGTCACACAATATAGAGTGGAAAGCTGTGGTGCAAAACTTGGTGACGAAAATCAACGACTCGTTCACCTTGGTCGAAATAGTTACCATAAGCCAGCAGCATACACCTGCTTGCCACGATGACCAGGTCAGTCAGATACTAGCTCATCTGTACGTGAAGATTTGCGCATAACCAGCTGTTTAATTTTTGACGTCGATTTCATGCATGTTGAAGAAGAGGAGTGCATGTTCCTATGCGTCGCTTGAATTTTAGATGAAAACCGTGTTTTTTCGTCAAGGCTATGTCATGGCTACGTCATGCTTCCTTCAACTGCAGTGATCGTACGGGTTTTGCTTCGTCAAGAAAGGAATGAAGCCTGAGGTAGCAAGTGTATTTTGAGCTGGTGCATTTGGTGTGGGAGTTGCGAACCTCTGTGATGTGGGGGCAACAGTCGTGCGGAACCAGTAGCGATCCGAAGAATAGTCTGCAGTGTTCAGCAAAGCAAACGCTTCCAAATGATATATACACCAGTGGGATCCGGTCCGATACCTCATGGCACCTTGGCATCATCATTGGCACTTGTCGGACCTTTACGGAGCATCTGAAAGTTAAATAAGGTCCAGCACGTTTAACAAGTACGTAGGAGCGTGCTGTGCACCGGATGCATTGCTGTGATACTATTATCAGCTAAGGTACGGTGTAGGAACGCTTTTCTCAGAACTTTAAGTCATGTTTGTCGAAGGGATATCGGCCTGGTCACTTACCTAAAGCCAAAATAAACACACTGGTAAGTGGAGGTGCTAGAGAACATATTTGACTTTGTTTCTGTATAGCAAAGACATGATATGGTGGTTGGGTAAAATTGTTTATTTTTGACCGTACTGGAAACCAACGACGTCACAAGGAAGCAATGGTCTAACACCTATAACAATGCTTTTTCAGTTCCCCGGTTTATTCCGGTTAAAGAGATACTTTTTCATGGTCATTATGTTTTGGTTTTGCTGTTGCCCACATGGTTGTAATGAGCCGCAATCTGCTGACCCTAAAAAGTACAGCTTGACTTGTACAGCTTGATCTGAATCCAAATGGGCTCAAGCTTTCAAAACAAAAAATCAGTCATCTATAGACGACCACATGTCTTGAGTTGAAGATGCTTCGTAGGCTCGTAAATGTTGCCCTTTTTACAATCTGTTTTGGAGCCATTACAGATACATACATATGCATATATCAAGAGATGATCTGCTCCGACATAGCATTAGATTTCTTGGTAAGGGCTGTTTTGGACGCATTACCGAACATTTGTCATTCTCCAGCATGCGCCAAGAATGGAATCAAAAAGCTGCCCTTACCACCGCTCGCGAACGGCTGTGACCTTCGCCACGGAGGATGGCGACAACAGAGACAGGTTTGTAGTGTTTGGGAGAGCCGTTGACTTCGAGTTAATTTTCATCAGGAGGCAAAACTGCGCGTTCCATGAGTGCGCTCGTACTGTATGGGTACACAGTTCGTAAGACAGGCTGCATTCAAGGTTGTGCCGTTTCCACAAGTTTATCAGAGTTGGCCCGACTTGGAAAGCCATCCCAGTGTTTTCTATTCGACGTGCTCATCAGACCCGACCCGCCCTCATCACACCTTTGTAATCGTCTTTTCCAGCTCACCAAAAATCATGCTTTGTTGTTCTCCTCAAATGGCAGTTACTCAAAAGGTATTCAGGTACATGCTCCCGGGGCTTACTAGCCAGAGCTAATGCTGTCTACTTGAGCCTGACACGAAGAGCTGCCTTGGACGCTTCTCGCATTCCAGCAGAAGCTCACAATGCTTTGATGGTAGTGCTGATGGTTATGGTAGAACGAAGACAAATTATTTACCTCATGAGTCTTCATGCACACCGGTGGGTAGTCCACATTATGTCCTTCGTCAACGGCTACAAGTCTAGCACCGCAGACAATTGAAGTCGACACGTTTGACATTTCAACTGCTCATCCCCAGAAGCCTCCCTATCAATTGTACTGTTTTTGCTCAAATCCAACGGTGTTCATGGTCTTAGACCCTGGCATTGTGCCAACCTTTCCCCTCATTTCGAGCCGCGCATTCAAGATGGGAGGCGGACGCCTACTCGAAGCGAACGGCAGCGCGACGACGCCCGTCAGAGCCATCTGTCGTCGTTTCCGCCAACTACTATCGATCGGCCGCGAGCGGCCAGGCAAAGCGGCCGGCATCGAGCTAGCCAGGGAGCGCGCGGGCTGACCGGGCACTGAAGGCGGCGGACCGGCACCAGCAGGCACCAGCGGCACCAGCGGGCTCCGCCGGCCAGCGCAGGGCACGCCGGACACGCATGGCTCTGCTGACCAGCCTCGGCTGACGCGCTACCAGCATGCGTTGACCGGCGTCGCAGCGAGAGCGATCGGTGAGTGCTAGCACCTGCTTGGCGCAGTTACCTGCCGGGGCTTGCGCTGCGCGGCTTGGCGCAGGTAACTGCGCCAAGCCGTCTGCTTAGCTGTCTGGAGAAGCTTGCGTACCAGGGTGGCCTGATGGGCCTCTGTATTTGCTGGAGGAGGGAGGCTTTCGACGCAGGTGCTGCTTATTGCCGAGTGGGAGAGCAGGGATATGTAGTCTTGCACGGAGAGCAGGACGTCGGGCTCGTGGTTTTGTTGTATCTTGTGCCACAAAACATTTCATTATTTGAGGTTAAATCAGGTCCCGTTATGTTATTTCCTCATAGCCGTTCTAAGGCGAAGGAACGCCACCCAAGAATGCGGAAGTTAGTGTTTCATTCATGTCAATGGTGATGTGTGCTCTTTTTGAAATATTTATATTTGCACGATCTATAGTTTAAGGCTGTGTGCTGTAAGCACTGCACTGCACACGCAAAGAGCAAACCGTGCCCGCTGCATGACGTTGAGCACACATGTTCTGTGCACGAGTCGTACATGGCGAGGTCCCTCGTCGTTTATTGGGAAGGTTCCCTGACGAACAGTTTTCTGGCGACAACTATCGATTAAAGTCGGTCATCAGATGAACGGGCGACGGGCTGCGGATCATCGAGTTCAGCCAGAGCAGCACCGCTGACAAGCGAGAACCCTAGCGGCTCTCCCGTGGAGGGGCTCGGTCACGGGCCCCTCCGATCTGACAGTGCAAGCGGCGCTCACAAGCCTGGTCGGGAGACGGGCTTCATGACTGTGTCACGACAGTGGCTTTACAGCGGTGTGACAATATAGCGCGGTCCGGATGCAAGCGCGAAAACATAGCCCATAAATATAGCGTCTGATACTAAGTGTCTATGGACGGCGAGTAGTGCTAATAAACGTTGGACGTATCTCACGTCGGCTCGGGAGCAAAAAAAAAAAAACTCACGAAGGTATGTCGATGCACCTGCTATACAAACTTGGCCGGCTGTCACCGTGGATAATACAATCTATATTCTGCGCACGTTTAGCTCTTTGCAATCCGTCGGGAACAAACTGGCAACATTTTCTGGTCTGTTGGCGAGCAATAGTTCCGAGCGATTGTCCGGGTGCGCCATTGTGCGAGTCAAATATGCAGACGTCAGATCAATAATCATTACACACGTCAAGAGCAATGTATTCCAGGTCCCAGCGCCCAGATTCCCAGGTCCCAACACTGCTCCATGGACTGACTTTACATTCTGCACTTTCTCAGCCCACTTGGTCTCAGCAGGACCGAGTAGTTCCGCTCTTCATATATCATTGGTGAGCTTCTTCTGGAGATATTCACGAACCAGATAAATCAACGATCTCCCAAAAAGCACCACGATGATTTATGTATCCACCGAAGGATTTGGGAAAACCATTTGTATGGTTATGCGGCCTTGAGGTTCCAATTTCGCATTGTTGTGATTTGCGGGCGATGAACGCGATAGAAGTTGGTGGGCGACGGTCTCACTAAGGAATGCCGTGATGATTCAGCAATCGAATTAACAGCTTCAAATTGGCTTTTGCAAGTATCATTAATATTTACTCGTCTATTCAAGAGTAGTGCGTGCAATGGCTACGACGATTCGTGCGAGCATATTTTTAACATTCAAGACAGGGTTTATTTTGATGCTTTCAACTTGAAAGTGGTTCCAAAATTCCAGTATTGTTAAACATTTTTACTTCTAACATGGTTTGGGACGGACAGTACATGCCGTCTTATCATTCTCAACGAGACCGCGTGAGCGGTGAGCCATACTTCCGGAACGAAAAGAACACGCTGAAACGAGTTGGTGGTTTATATGGTTTTCTTTTCAGGACGTTCAAGGCGAACGGTGGGGAGGGCTGCAAACTCACCAGGTTTCAAAACGCCGCCATCATTCTTTACACTTTCCATTGGTCTATACTGAGAAATGGCTCAGACCAGCCGTCCAACGGTAGGTGGTGGTTCTCTGTCTTTCCGTCCCCTGCTGCTTTTTCTGTTCTCTCTCTCTCTCTCTCTCTCTCTCTCTCTCTCTCTCTCTCTCTCTCTCTCTCTCTCTCTCTCTCTCTCTCTCTCTCTCTCTCTCTCTCTCTCTCTCTCTCTCTCTCTCTCTCTCTCTCTCTCTCTCTTTCTCTGCTTCTCTCTTTCTCTCTCTCTCTTTCTCTCTCTTTCTCACTCTCCCTCTCACTCTCTAAATCGTTCGCTGTCCCGCTCTCCTCTTCTTTCCCTCTCACCTCTGATTCAATTAGTTCAAACTGTGTTTTGATTACCATCGACGTTTTTCACGTCAATGGTAAGTCATCCACTATTTTCTTCCTCACAATCACTTACAATGGACCTCCAAACACTCAAAAAGGTCCTTAAAAGCCAGTTCCTTCATCTACGAACGTCGGTGATCGAGATGCCTATCGCCACTGCTGACTCAACCATTCTGTTATCCGCGCTGCCGTTGTCACTGTGTGTATTGCATCGGGCTCAGAGCTATCTCAATTATTCCAATGCATTACCGACCGTCGCCAATTAAAGTGCCCCGATTTTGCAGTGTCTTTACGCTAAACCTGCGGTAATCATTTGATCACAATGAACAAAAACAAAAACTCCAAGGCGCCATGGGACCCTAATGAGAGCCCGGGGCCGGATGTCAGCGCCTGCCCCGCGCCACTGACAGACCCCGCGCGCCGCCGCAGGCGACAAGGCGATGGGAGAGACGAAAACCGTGCGCCCGATGAGCACGTCGGGCCGCTCGACGGCCGCCTCGGCGGAGGTGAGCTCGCTGTCTGCGGCCGACGGCGGCGGACGCGCGCCCGACTCGCCGGCCACCTCGTCCGACACGGTGGAACTCGACGAGCGCTCCGGCGAGCTGGTGCAGGTGACGCTCGGCCACGCCGGCGGCGTGCTGTTCGGGCCGCCGTCGGCAGGCGCGCCGCCACCCACCTTCTCCACGTTCGCGGCGGCGCGTTCGCAGCCGGCCAGCCTGGAGCGGCCGGCCAAGAGCCGCCAACAGAGCCTGGAGCGCCGCTCGCAGGGGTCACGCTCGCAGAGCCGCCAGTCGCACCACAGCGTAACCTCGCAGCTGTACGGCGTGGCGGCGTTTGCGGCGCACTGCGAGGCGGCCGTGGCCAGCTATGATCCGTTCGACGACCCGGCTGTGGAGGTGGAGCTCGAGACGCCAGGTGGGTCCGCGGGGCCAGCCGGCGACACGGCTGAGCAGAGTGAGGCGATGAGGGCGGGGTCACAGTCGCAGCTGTCGTGCCCGAGGCGTCATAAATTGGCTCCCGCAGGGCTGCAGCGGGCGGCTGGGGAGGTGGGACGGTGGGCAGATGTGACACATCGGCGGGGCCACGGCTCCTGGTGTCACGCAGAGCCGTGGCCGGCGGCTGGGGAGGTAGGACGATGGGCAGAGGTGAGACGTTCGCGGGGCCACGACTCTCGTTGTCACGCGGGGCTGTGGATGATCGCACTGCCGCGGGGGAGGGGGGGGGGGGGGGGGATTCGCTGACGATTGCAAGCACCAGGGTGCTTTGGGTGGGCCCGTCCCGAGAATTCTTTTGACGGGACGGCGAAATTGCACCAGACAGTTTGTAAAGGACTGAAAGGCAAGCTGCCAGACGGACACTACGGCCGAACAGAGACTGACCTGGAAGTTGCGGTGTTTGGCCGAATCTCATGATCAAGGGGCATATTTGTATACTGACTGATGGACATCACAGTGAGCATAAACGACATCTATTTTTGATATCCAAAACAGACCAGACTAGCTTTGGACGCTACAGACGAGGCAAGTTGTTGCGTTGATATATATTATATAGGTGTCGAAATGATATGCCAATATTTCTCTCCGTATAAGCCGTCTTATTACTATTGATCTAATAAGTCGGAAATACTGCTTGAGCTTAATTAGGTGAGCGATTGCTGCAGTTGACTGTGGATCAGCATGAGTGGTTGCACTGGGCTTTTATTAGATCACCGTGGAACGTACTTAATCATATCTTTTCTTGTTTCACAACGCAGTCCTGTCCTTAACGCACTGGAGCACTTCTGGAACTACGATGTAGGGCACGAAATCGAAGGTTGGTTAAAAGTACCGTCCTCAGAGGCTAAAGAGTAACCTGTCAACATTTCCATGGAGGCCTAAGAAAGTTATATACATATCAAGTTAATTTGACTCAGCGCAAAGCCGAGACCAGGTCCAGAGGAGCAGCCAATATTTGTGACAGGGAGCTAACCATGGTTGCGATGAGGGAGAGGAGATTTCGTTACGAACGAATCCCAGGCCCAATTGACAGTACCCACGGACTTTGAACCAAGTAAAACGCCCCCGCAAGCGCTTGTAGGTACAGTCCCTAGTGTTTCAATTATCTATTGATCATGGTGCTTTAGACAATAGTTTCAGCTGCACACCATACATGCTCACTTGCCTTTTCCCCTGGTCTTATTACTAAATTACGGCTGTTGGGCTCCACATGTGGCTGCCCTTGTTAGCTTTTAGGAGATTTAAAACCACAATAGTTTGTTCTGGTCACCAGATTCCGGAATTGTATTCAATACTGTCATGTTTAAAAACTGCGCCCGACCCTGACGGAGGGGGGGGGGGGCCTTAAGTCCCATGAGCCCCCTTGGCTGTGCCACCGATCGTGTCTGGTTGGTGGTGACAAACGGCATGGGAGCGACTCGATGGTGGTAAGCTTCGATGGGGAATGTAACGGGCAATCGCTTGGAACTTAATGTGAGGTTACACGTGCCACGTGTCACGTGCATGCAAGCTGACAAGATTAATTGCATTACATCCTACGGGTGTACAAGTCTCGTGCCATATCCCTGCCCCCCCCCCCCCCCCCCCCCGGCAGCCACAGTGACGAATGAACTTCAAAACGTAGACCAGACCCATTGCTGCGTTTTAGAAAGGGCGTAGCAAAGCAAGCATGTAAACGCTTTCCACATTCGAGAAAAAAACATCCCATGAAATATATTTCTCCGGGAAACTCATTTCCCAAATGTTCGCGCTTCTCGCGAACGTCTTTGCTAACCGCTAATCGCTGCTGAAATGTGCGTCCACTGAGCTGTGTGTCCGCTGAACTGTATTTCTACTGTGCTGTGTGTCCGCTGAGCTGTGTGTCCACTGAGCTGTGTGTCCGCTGAACTGTGTGCAAACTGAGCTGTGTGACCGCTGAGCTGTGTGTCCGCTGAGCTGTGTGTCTGCCGAGCTGTGTGTCCGTTGAGCTGTGTATCACCTGAGCCGTGTGTCGGAAGCTATAGGGCTCTCACCATAGAGGGTACCGGGTTACCTATTTCTAGTTGCTGCCCGACATGACTAGAAATGCTGATGCCTGCTCTCGGCTTCGCTTTGATGTTCGAGCGATTCGGGAATTTCGGGAGTGCAGATCCGAGGTCGCGGACCTCGGTCTTCACCTTACGGCTTTTGGTAGCAAGATAAAGGCAACTGATATCAAACCATCACATCCAGTGCATCAACTCAGCACAGCCAATTAATTCAGCGCGGCATCGGCTAGCCCTCCCCTCCCCACCCCACAACCAAACCACCAAGCTTGGACGCCTCATCCCTCAGAACGGCGTCCATTGGGTTTGTCTTGGCCACGCTTGGTCTTTGAGAGCAGAAATCATGGGCATCCACTGGTGAACTGCTGCCAGGTAGAATGAGACGCCGAGTTTACTTCAGGACGGACCCTTATGTACGTTTGACCTTGCGTAATGGTGTGTGCCGCGAGAGAGAATGGTAAATGACAGCATTTTCAGAATATAAATCAGGCTGATCCTATCAGTTTATCATTTTAATGTGGTACTGAACGTAGTTTCCAAAAAAATCGCAAAGCATATTGATAAGTCGTATTATCGGCGATGTGATTTAGGTGGACAGTGTGGATTGGCTCAAGCCGGAACGTCACTATTGAAACGATCCCAGTCCAGTACTCTCATAGACTCTCGTAGATTTAAGTGGCCCATGACAACAACCACTTTAAGAAGATTTGCATCTTTTAATCCTTGACCGACCATGAGAAGCGTGCTATGTAATTAACTACAGGCCTCTATCAAATGGATGTGTGCCAACCACTGTAACAGCTTGAAGGCATCGTTAAGTGGCGGACTGCGAGGCCCATTGGAGACGGAGCTGGGTCTGAGTCTGACCGTTTGTTGGCCGCCCATTCACGGGCCGTGAGCCTTGCAATATCATGCCGGTTTTCGCGAAAGAAGATTGGAAACGTGGCAGAATGTAGAGACCAAAAAGGCTCAGCAGTCACAGTTTGTTGGCAAACGTGCCGCGTGGTGTCTTGTTTGTTGCGCTATTGACGGCAGCAAATGGTCTACCGTGTTTGCCGCAAGCCCTAATGGGTGTGTGAGGGGACCAAAATGCCTGCAGTGTTTAGCCGGAGATCTAAGAGCAAAGGAAAAGTTGGGCTTTTGGATCGGAACAGGCCCTGACTTTTCCCTGAACACGCGAATGTCCATCATAAATGTCTGGTTGTCTATAACGATCCGCCTCGAGCCCATGCATTTGTCTCCGTTCGCCAACGAGCCGCGACCATTCAGGAATGCTCTATCCCTGCTTTTTCCACACCTCTGTTGGTTGGACCGCCTCCGGGCTCGTTTACCGGCGTCCGCTCACCGTATCGGGGCTGAATCCCGCCGTCCGCTGGCGGTACCAAGGCTGAATCTCAGCGTCCGCTCAGTGTACCGGTGCTGAATCTCTGTATCCGCTGACTATACCGGGGCTGAATTCGACATCTGGCCGTTGTTTGACTGATCTTCGGCTCCAGCTGTCCCGGTACAAATGACCGTCCTTGCTCACTTTCTTACCGAGGGCAAGAGAGAGAGAGAGAGAGAGAGAGAGAGAGAGAGAGAGAGGAGCGAGAGAGAGAGACGAGAGAGAGAGAGAGAGAGAGATGGACTGGCAGAGAGGAGGAGAGAGAGAGAAGAGAGAGCGAGAGGAGAGAGATGAGAGGAGAGAGAGAGAGAGGAGAGAGAAGAGAACGACGAGAGACCGAGAGTGAGGAAGAGAGAGAGAGAGAGAGAGAGAGAGAGAGAGAGAGAGGGAGACAGAGAGATTCACTTTTATTAGCATGTGGAGAGAGTGCTTTTTGCGTAACGGTGTGCACAAGAATGGAAGGAACGGACCGAATTCACTTTAATTGGATTTGGGCTGCGGTACCTGTGCATCAGCACGCGCATAATGACAACAGATGAGCAGAAATATTATGCTTCAGACCCTCCCCCCACAGCGTTTGCTGTTTGACAGCATCGAACCCGTTTCCTTATTTATTTGGGCACTGCCTTGCCGACCAGGTTTGCCATAAATAGGCAACCGGGTGTTTTGGCCGTTTCGGCCGGCGCTCCAGAGCAGCAGTCGTGATTGATCGATCAAGCGCATTCACCTGGAACATCCCGCACGGGTGCCGTTCCGGGCGTCGAGGCAGAGGTCGAAGGGGTGGGCATGGAGCGAGGGTCGCTCTCCTGGGCCGAGAGCCCGCTCTCCGGCCCAGGCGACGACTTGGGAGGCTATGACAGGAACGACCCCGGTCTTCTCTGTCTGTTCAAGGCGCAGAACCGCGCCGCAAGCGGCCATTTCCTGCTGAACATTTCCGGCCACTCTGCCGCCACAGCTCCGGGGCGACGTGGCTGCGAGGGCGTCAGATTTGAGCTCTGTGACCCGTCACCAGCCCCCCCCCAATCCCTGCGGCCCGGCTTTCGCCGTGCTTGCCGCGCCATGTTCTGATTCGGCTCGCGACGGCGGCGGCGCGACGCTCGGCGGCCGACGTGGCCGGGCGTGGGTGGCGCCGCGGCCGTTTTACGAGGCGTGGCGCGCGCAGCGGCTAACCGGCGCTCGCTTGCAGCGTACCTCAGCCGGCCGGAGAGCCGCACCACCTGCCCACCGGAGCCACTGACGCCACTGCCCACTGTGCGCGACGACGCCCGACTCAAGCCACCGGCCAGCTTCAAGGTGGGTCCGGCGGCGGCCGCGAGCGCCGGCCCAGAGAAGGATGTGTTGTGCTGGGCTGGGCTGGGGCATGTCGGCGTGGTTTTGCGACCGACCGCAGAACAGAGACTGTGATGTGTACGCGGTTTGTGTTTTAGCGATTGTGGAAATTTCCAGGCAACCATAAAGTGCTCTCGCGAAATATGATGAGTGCCGTGTGATCTTTTGCGAAGGTCGGACCAGCTGCTTCAACCCCCGCCAATGCTCCTGGAAGCGGAACTTTCGATGGTCTTTAGTAGGGATCGAGGCTGGAGGCCATTCAGGAGGGTCAGAACAAAAGGGATTCTGAAGTACAATTACTGTCCTCTAAGATGTATATTTTTACCCATTAAACGAACACATTTTGTTTTGAGCCAACATTGAGATTTCTTCGGCGTGGCCGCGGTTTAACACCAGCTTGCTAGACTCGCACCAATCCACACGTGATCCTGGATGACCTGAGGTAGGGTAGAATCTTGCATTAAGGCCAATACATGTCTTTGTAGTGGTATGTAGCCTCGCATCTTTTTCGCTGCCTGTCACAAGCGATATAGCTCTGGAAGTTGTGCTTTGGAAGTCCGAGTGTCAGTAGAGATTATAGCTCCGCAAAGGACGTTTTAGGACACAATAAGCAACTTTACAATATGCTCTACGCGCTAGAAATTAACTCTGTCAGTCATTTGGTTTTCGATTGGGAATAATGCTCGCGTCTGGAAAGCTTTGTGATACACTCATAACTCCTCACTTTAATCGTAGTTCAGATTCAAATGCAGTCATTTATATTACCCTCGCAAGCAAGCAGATTGCTCGTAATCTCACAGTAAAGATTGACTCAAAAGTTTTCAGTTCTATATCGAGCTTCAAATGTGATAATGAAGATTGGATGTACCATTCAGTAGGCTTTTTATTACAATTGCCATTGTGTCTTTTTTGTATAAGTTACTGAACTTTATGGTGCTAGCAGGAATAAGTGCAAACCGTGCTTGGACGCCCTCGGTCAGTGTTGCCAGGAACACTTGCTTGGCGGAGAAAAATGCGTTGTAGGGCAATGTCGTTCATCAGCTTTTTGAAAATCAATACCCCGGGTCGGGGAGTGGCTGCAGAGTGGCCACTTCAAAGGTCAACGACCTGAAGAGGCACATTACAAACAAAACGACCCATAATTAGTACGTGCAGCTGCGAGGTTCACAGTGAACCAGATGCATACCCCAAAAATGTTACCGTTTCCACTAGATTTAACTTATTTAATTCAGAGCGCCGAAAGAGGACGTCTGGAGGCAACAGAGCATGGAAAGAAAAGGGAAAGTTAGGTGTCTCGAAGTGAAGATTTGTGTTATGAAGCCACGAAAGACGGTTCCATTATGAATACTCATAATAAAGGTATGATGAAACCTGAGATCACGCTTCATTGCACGGAAAGGTGACTCAGGCATGGATGACCGCGGTTGGATACCCACGCTCAGCGTTGGTCTCAGCCCAACATATACGGCTTAGAGGTACGCTATGCGTGGTAACATACTCAGAAGTTGCCCATACCATCTCAACAGCTGCGTTATGACGTCATGACGGAAAATGGCATGTTTTGGCCGGACAGGACTCAGTGCACAATCAGAAGTCTGTCCTCGTGAAAGTGAAGGCGTCTAATATATTCCTGACGGCATGTGGTGGCAATCGTCATACGTTCACCAGCGCAGACCCGTCCATGGGCTTGGTGGGTTTAAGTTCGGGCCCATCGCTCACCTCTTTCGATCTGGGCTGCGCTTGAGGCTTATACGTTCAAGGACGGCTGGAAATCAGAAAAGGAGCAAAACCTCAGAATAAGAATCACGGGATGGGGAGTGGAGATATCCATAGAACTGGGACAAAGGCTGCGAAACACGTGTAAACATTCGTCCACTATTTGGCTGATGCCGACCGCCCGGTACCCCGGAGTTCTTCTGGTGGCACAGGCTGTGCTAAATTTGTGCAGAAGTGAGGCAGGATTTTTCTAAGAAGGGGTCGAATCGAAGCATAGTGGCCCTTCCAGCCAAGGGGGCATAGCCTTGTCGCTGCAGGGCTGCGGCGCTGTTTTCGGCTTTGGTCCGAGTGGTGCGTCGATCCCAGTCTCTGAGGGGTGCGTCGGCCCGGTCCGAGTGGTTCGTCGGCCTCGGTCCCGGAGTGGTGCGTCGACCCGGTCCGAGTGGTTCGTCGGCCTCGGTCTCAGAGTGGTGCGTCGGCCCGGTCCGAGTGGTTCGTCGGCCTCGGTCTCTGAGTGGTTGCGTCGACCCCAGTCTCTGAGGGGTGCGTCGATCTTGGTTCGAGTGGTGTGTCGGCCCCGGTCTCAGAGTGGTGCGTCGGCCCCGGTCCGAGGGGTGCGTCGGCCTCGGTCGCTGAAGGGTGCGTCGGCCCCGGTCCGAGTGGGGCGTTCCCTCCGGTTCGAGAGGTGCGTCGACCTCGGTCTCTGAGGGGTGCGTCGGCCCCGGTCCGAGTGGTTCGTCGGCCTTGGTCTCAGAGAGGTGCGTTGGCCCTGGTCTCTGAGGGGTACGTCGGCTTCGGTCTCTGAGGAGTGCGTCGGCTTTGGTCCGAGAGGTGCGCCGGCCTCTGTACGAGAGGTGCGTCGACCTACGAGTTGTCACCGAGGTGCGCTGTCCTGTCCTGTGTAGGGTATTCGGAACTATAGGGACGGTCTTCACGCTGCTTCAGTTGTGCTCTTGTCCTGGAAGAGAACCTTCAGACCCAGAGGCTGGTAGCCAGATGCATTAGCCGGAATATCAAAACGGCCTCCAGGCTTACTGAGAGTCATACAATGTTACGCAGTATATGTGTGTAAGTCACGGGGCCCTAAAATACGAAAGACAGCTTTGACCCAAACTCGTGATTTCCTGAACGCAGTGTCTTTCCTGGGTCGGTAAACATTGCGCGGGTCTGATTCCTTTTACAGGCACAGGTGTGTAAGACAGGCACGCGGTTCCTGGCCCGCCCATCACTGTTCTCCAACAGCCCAAATGACCAGACCCGCTGAGCCGGGCCGTTTGGGAAAAAACCAGAGTGCCAAATTACAAAATCTCCATCTACAAGCGCTAACGCCGATAAATCCGTTATGCCAGGCTACGTCCAATCTGTCTTAATGCCAAAATGGAATGCTCCCGCCTTGTTCATTCCTGCCAATAAACTTTCTCATGAGACGCCGTGTGCCCCTTACCATGCGTGTGTTTAACTGACCTGTTCGAGTGCTCGCTGACATGATTTAGTGGCTCTGGCCTGACCACGAAATGACGATTCCTGCATCATCTAACAGATATCGTGTCGGATGCGGCCGCCGATACTTCGGACCGGCGCGTGTGCATTGAGACGCGCAAGCATTTGAAACCATTGTTTTGCGACCAACTTTGGCAAAAATAGTGTCAAGTTTATTTCCTAATTGGACTCTGAACTCAAAGTGATGCCAAACCAATCAGGACAAAAATCCCAAAGCAGCTAGTTGACATTACCTTACTGCGGATGAACCGCTACATAATCCAAGACTTTTCGGAAATGGTTCAAGATAAACAGTTGAGAGCTTACCTTTGCGTGGCTTGGTCTTTATGCGTCATATACACGATGCAAAGCGGGAAAATATATCGAGAGGGCTTCAAGATGTCATCAGGAATCTCCTCACGAGGAACCAAAGCTCAAATGTAACCAAAAACGGAAATCGTGAAATGCTGGTACCGTGTAAACGGCAGGCCGTTGTCCCCATATTGCCATGCCCGGATATGAGCTTTCATGACTTGTAGCGCTGCTGTAGGGTTCACTTGTGCAGCGCTGACCAGGGCATCATCGTGTAGTGGCAATTGCGTGTTGTTGCGGCCTGTCAGTAATGTAAGAACATGTCTGCTTTATTTTGTTTGAACTTTTAGTATTCTGTTTTATACATTGTTGGAATTGCCTACACAGGCGGTTTTAGTGTCGGACTATACATGAAGCAGGGCTCAAAGAATCTGCTCTGTATTTGTCACCGCGGGTAATGCTGTTGTGGGCTATCGAATGATTTTCCCATCGACTAGTCAGGACTATTAGTCAGGAGTACAGAGACATAACTTTCGTGCGATACATCATTACGTTACACTCTTCCTGTGTCAGGTTTGTCTGCACTGTTATGTGCAGACTATTTAGCAGGCACTGTGTGCTCCAATTGCGTGGATTGTGCTGCAATGCACAGTGAGCACTGTAAAAAGTGCTCTCGTGGCCTGAACTGTGACACAGCGACCTTACCTGTGACATAGCGACTTGACCTGGGATCCAATGACCTGCCCTGCGCACAGGATGACCTGAAGCGAGCCCCGATAGAGGGTGCGAGCGGCACAGACCAGGGCTACACGGCCGACGACGAGTATGAGGAGAGGACTGTCAAGCAGATGCTCAGGAGGTGAGTCATCAGACGGGACCTCGTCTGGTGGCGAAGGAACCCAACAGGGCTTTACGTACACCAGTCTGCGTTACAAAAACCGTGCGTGGTTCGTAACCTAAGTGTGCCAATCTCCAAGTAAGTCTGTCAGTCGACGCGTTGCCACGCGAAGACAGCGATCACAGAGAGTGGCACGTGGTTTTACGTGCCGTGACTCACGTCCGGTATTGATAGACAAGTCTGAGAACTGTTGGCGTTGTGCCTACCACGACAGCGCTCAGACGCCGCTGTGAATGCCCGGCAGACTTGGCCACCGTGCAATAGCTAGGCAACGCCGCGCGCCATAAAGGAGCAGCCTACCGCCTACCATGCAGCACACCTGCGCGACACGAGCCCAGCACAATTCGCGGGCGGCTAGCTCAGTTCGGCTCGCCCAGGAAAGCCGATGCAATCTCCATGCCGTGGGTCTGCTTGTAGCGGGGCCGGGCGTCCCGACGCCCGCCCCATGCGTATCTCACCGTCTCAGGCCCGTTCATGCAGGCCTGTTCACAGAATCAATACCCATAGCGGTGGCATCAGTACTTATGCGACAGGCAGGTAAAAGTTTCCGTCCATTTCGGTCGGCTGCCGGCACCTTTACGAGCCGGCGGCCGGGAGGCGCCGTCCGCGATTCCAGCCTCGTGGCGCTGGGACTACGCGTCGGCCACCGGCGGCGCCCTATCTTGGATTCGTGGAAGTCGGCAGCTGCCGCGGGCTCGAAATGTGATTGATTTTGTTGGTCACGAGTGCGGCCGTGGACGCGGCGGTTGATGGGGCGCCGCGGTGAGATGGCGTGAGCTAAACACGTAACGGCCGGGGCGTGCTGCGTTCGACATCCGCCGTCGCGCGGTGGCGTGATGAGCCCCCTCCCGCCCCCCCCCCCCCCCCTCCCGGCCGCCATGCCGGGCAGGACGCGCGACGCCGGCCAGCCGGCCGCGGCCGCTCCGACATTAATGGATCGCGAAATTCGGCCGAGATCGTTCCGGTCCTCGGCACCGAATGGCTGGGTAATGGCCCTCGGAGCGGGCCGCAGTAGCGCTCCACGAACCGACTGAATTCCTCCCACCTCTGCCAGACCCTGCGACGTCCGCTCGACCCCGACCGGCCGGCCGTCTGTTCATCCGCCAGTCTGTCTGTCCGCCATTCAACCAGTTCACCAGTCCGCCAGCCTGCCAGTCCGCCAGTCCGCCAGTCGACAAGTCTGTCCGTGTCTCTGTCCGTTCGTCCGTATGCCCCTACGCCCGCTCCTCCATTCGCCCGTCCGTCCGCCCCTCCATCCATCCGTCCATCCGTCTGTCCCTCCATCCGTACGTCCGTTCGTCCGTCCGTCCTGTCCGTCCATCCGTCCGTCCGTCCGTCCGTCCCCCCATCCGTTTTCCATTCAGACTGCCTGAGCGTAACGATGATCTCAAACAAATGATAGTTGGCTATTGGATGTGTCGCGAATGTCCGTGGAAGCGAGGGCTATTGGATGTGTCGCGAATGTCCGTGGAAGCGGGGGCTATTGGATGTGTCGTGGATGTCCGTGGAAGCGGGGGCTTTTGGATATGTCGCGGATGTCCGTGGAAGCGAGGGCTATTGAATGTGTCGCGGGTGTCCGTGGAAGCGGGGGCTATTAGATGTGTCGCAGGTGTCTGTGGAAGCGGGGGCTCATTTCAGGGTGGCATTATTACACTTAAACACGCATTGTTAAATATAGAGCAACATTTCGCTTGAGGCTGCATGCTTACTAGGCAAATATTACAAACAGATAATTTCGCTTTTTAAAACCGTGACCTTTTATGTCAAGACTATGTGTGACGGCTGACACTGGCTACCCTCAGGGCAGCAAAGGTTGCAATCTCAATTCGAGGCATTCTGATTCAGTGTCCATTAAAATTGCCAGAATAAAAGCCTGTTTGTGGCGCTGGCGGCGTCAGTACGGCCCCGGCCCGATCGATACCAGAGGTATTACCCAACAGCCGAGATCCCTCGGATCTCCTGATCGAATCCGGTCGGCACACACGGCTGTGCACGGCGTTTTTTTTTGTGTGGGGCTCCGACGCTGACTCGTCGCCGGCGCCGCCCGAAGAGCTCACTCACCCGGCTGGCCAGCCAATCGACTGGAAAGCGGGCTCAACGTCCGTGGCCCGGCCGGCCGGTCCTGCCGCACGTGCGGCTCCATGGCGCGTAAACGAGCGGACGCCGGGGCGACTCCGCCGTGTCATTGGCATGGGCAATTATGACTCAGTGTTTGACTTGGCCCAGCCCCCGTACGTTATAGTTAATGCGATCTTCGCCGACGGGATACGGAGAGCGGACAAGTATTGAGGGTAGGGTCCCGGGAGTGAACGGAGAGAGAGGTAAGGGGAGAAGAAAGAGAGTGGACGGAAAAGAGAGGGATAGAGGGAGAGCGAGGAGAGGGGTCAGAGAGGGAGAGAGGAGCGTGAACACCAGGTGCAGGGTAAACAAGAGAAGGACGAGGGAACGACGAGTGCTAACAGCGTATTACCGATCCCTCCGCTGCGTAAACCTTTTCAGCAACCAGCGTTATCGCGCAAAAGTCACCCAGTCCTGTTCTCAGCCCTATCCTCAGTCCTGTTCTCAGCCCCGTCCGCAGTCCTGTTCTCAGCCCTGTCCTCAGTCCTGGCCCCATCCCTGCCCTCAGTCCTGTCCTCAAGTTCACGCGTCTAAATGTTTCACCATCCGCGACATTGATTTCACGCGTGCCCACAACGTTGTGTACCCGGACGATGTTCTTTGTCGGGGCAGCTATTAGAGCATTTGCAAAAGTGACAGTGATGTATGGCAGCACATCAATATCGCTTATTATTTTTGGGCAAGCAGCTAAGCGGGCATGAGCGTTTACAGTTTTGGCTATTACGTCATGCTCATCGATTACTCATGGTTTATTTGATAAATCAAAGAGCGCGAAGTGTCGTTACTAGCGTGCGGCTGTGCCATGCCAATGGAAAATGATGTTTGTCGATCGGATTTCATCTCCCTCTTGTGGAGCATTTTTGGGGCTGCAGCATAGCTGGGAGTGACGCTGCAGTGGCCGGGTACTCAATGCACATGGCTCTCCCACGCTGCGTCCTATCCCTCATATCCGGATAGGTCCTGTCCCTCATATCCGGATAGACCTGCCCCGTGCGGCCTATGCCGGTGCCTACAGCTGTGCTGGAGGCTGCGAGGTGAGATGTAACCTGTGGATGCCGACTGTGCCCGTCTGGACAGCCTAAATGGCACCCTCATAACGCCCGCGCGGCCCTCGGCCGCTTCTTCCTGCTCAGAACATACTGAACTGCGACGTTCCCAAAATGAGCCTAGTCGTATAGGTCCCAACGACGATTTGGTAAAAAAATAGCCACGGCGAGGTGCGACCAAGTTGCGATGCGTCTGCAGCAGACCATGCCTTGGTAGAACCGAGTCACCGTGCGCCATGGACAGGTCACGGCGCGTTAGAACCAAATCACGGGATTGTAGAGACAAAGCGTAGCATTTAAGCGCCCAATCTCGTCACGTCATAACTACCACAGGCAGCCGAAGCACGGTGTATCGAAGTGCACGAGACGCTCCTCCCCAGCCATGTTAAATGCTCGTGTATTTACACAGATGCCTGCCTTCCCCTCTCAATTGATTAACGTGAATGCGGTGCCATTGTGTGACTTGTTTGTCTTGTCACTTTGGATGTCGTTGGTCACCCGAGCTTCGTGACTGACAGACTGTTGGGCAGTCACCCGTCTGCTACCGGACTGGCTGTACCCTGGTTGTTCAATGTCCGCCGGATGCAGCCGACAGCTGACTGGGGACCCATTCCGCACGCAGCGGGCTGTCGGCTGGCCGCTCTCCTGACAGGTCATTGACGGGCGATGGACCATTCTCCGGGCCGCCCATTGGCGGCCGGCTCGGGTCATTGCATTTGAAAGTTATTCTTCTTGCTGCGGCGTCATATGAAAGCAAGCTTAAGCATTAAAAATATGAAATATGGTTGTGATGAAAACGCCGAAAGTGATAACATGCGATTTGTAGAATATTCGCGTAATGAACTCACAAGATTCCAGCCACCACATGCTTTTCATTGACATCGGTAGCCTGTGGTAGTGGTATGGTGCTGCCTTGACGATTAATCGCGACTAAGCTTGGCTGTGCATTACGTCGAGGGATAGCATATTCCCTGTTGTTCACCACAAATTCCCCGAGTACGCGATAACAGTGGCTTATGCTTCGCGTCGTTTTGCAGTCTCAGCTATCCACATATTATTGGCATCGAAGTATGCCTTTCTTTAACTCTTTTTCCCCATTTCAGGGCACCGAGTGGAGACCTTAGGTAAGCTGGAAGGTGCCTAGCGCCAATTTGGTGGAATGTCGTGGGCGAATACATGCAGATGTTGACGAATTTGTTTAAGCTCATAACCAGAGAAACATTACAGTGTCGTGACATACTGACTTCTCTCGAAGCCCTAGTTCAAATAAAGAAGTTCAAATATACAAGCCAGCCCGCCTTACACTCATTCTCATTCCTTTTGTATACAAAAAAGCGTTTAAGAAACGCTCTCGTTAAGACCAAATAATAATCGTAGAAATCGTCATTTTGCGTTGACAGTCACCCGTGCCCGGCAGCTTGCAGAAGCAGGCCGGCACCATGTCCCGCAAGCTCTCCTCCAAGATGGATGGTCTGCCACCCGACCGTTACATGGACACTAACGAGACGCTCCTGGTTATCCGGTCACAGCTCAACAACCTCACCAAGTCGATGGAATCGTGCCAGAGTGAGGTCAGCCTGACACTGAACGGTGCCAGAATGAGGTCAACTTGTCACTGAGCGGCAGGGATAAAAGACCGTAGACACTGTCTCCCACCAGACTGCGATGCCAGATTTTGTCTCCTTGACTTTTTGGTAAACGCAAAATGTATTGGTCAACACTTCTCAAGGGAGCTTCGGTCGAGCTACGGCAGCGTCGTAGTTTTACCTACCACATCCCCCACCGGATACAGGCTTTGCTAAAACGCTTTCAACACCACGTAGACGACGACGGCTTTGTATTTGCACTGAATCCACCTTGGATATGTACAAAATCGCGGCGACATCCTGTCAGTGCAAAATGCCAAATACGCCGCTTACAGTAAAGCACACAACGAGAACCCTGCCCAAGTCTCAAAACCATCTGAGCCAGATATTACAAACAGCATACGCTAGCATCACTAAATCCAGATGTACCTCGTCGCACAAGCCACTCAAGGCATGGCATGCTGGTACTCACAGACGAGCAATGAAAGCGATCAAAAAATACACAGCCTCACGTGGACTCATCAATTTGCAAGTAGTGACACATCCTTACGCACTCGCCGCTAGCTCCAGAGCACAACTGCGCATGCAAAATTTGATCTAAGGACCAACTCACAATGTCAGCACTCCTTTTCTCTTCAACTTCTTGAAAAGGCAGGAGCGATATCATTGGGATGCTCTGTGCCGGGCGATAGCCGTAACCATGAGCATGTGCTTCACGTTGACAGACCGCCTCACGAAGTCAAACCGGTGACGCTTTTGAGCAGCTTTTATGAGATGTTCGGCACCATCAAGCTAGGGCCATCCCATCGAATCCTGAGACCCTTCGCGGCATTGTCATGCCTCAGCTGCCGATGCATGGAGAAAACCTCCTTGAGGACGCTGCCCATTCACTCAACCACACTTTCGACACGGCTGAGCAGCCACACGCGGATGACTAGACTAGCGAAAAGTTCGATCGAAAGACCACGTTTCCACAAAACTTTCAAGAGAACTTGGTTGGAGCTAGTGCGCTCGTCACTAGACAGGATGCTGATTGCTTCGCGAACGCTGCAGCTCGGCGCCGCAGCCGATGGCGGGATCAGCATGCTGGACGCCAGATGTCCGATGGCTTCGGAAACTGTGCTCACCTGGGCGTCGACTGATTTCTTTGAGATCTGGAAACCCTTCAGGTCACCAATCGACCGGACATAGGGCATAATGTCCAGGAGCGCCTTGCTTGCTGTTCCTTTTCTTCCACCGTCCGCGCCAGCTCCCTCTCTCCTTGTCTTCAAATTGCGGACCAGGGCGGCACAAAACACAACGACAAGACGGACCTGTGGATCGCAGTTTGCTGAGTCCGAGGGAGATCGAGTCGCAAAGGAACAGGAGATATACCTTACTTTCAGATAGTGGATGTTTTACGATAATTCGTTTCGAGCGAGGTTCAGAAGGTTCATTGGTGTATCAATTTCGTGCAGAGATTTGGCTGCTTGATGATTGCCATCTTTTGGGAGCGACTGTCAGCCCAATAAGCTGCAGGCTTGAACAAGGATGCAAGTCAGAACTAAACACCACCTTAACAATTACACGTCCAGCGCTGGGGCTGAAAGAATATCCGGAAGATACCAGAGAATATGGCATCATTAGCAAATAACCCTGGGCAGCAAGATGAGTACAATGTTTAACTACAAAGGGAAACAAGCATTCAATTCCTTAAAAGAACAAAACAACCCAAAATAACCATCTAAGTAGGTGTAATTCAGCTGGAAACCTTAAACCTTTAACCACCATTAACCAAGGAACCTTAAACCACCATTCCATTTTTATCTTGAAATAAGTCTAAAAGTGGTCCCATTTTAATAGTTTTTCACCCTGAATACAAACTAAATCCAAGCCGTTTACCAACAATACCCAACAACCGCAAACAGCATATTTGAAAATCTCACCTCCAGTCTTGTCTACAGAAACTGATGATACAGTTAGACTGGATGATCTGCTTGGCACCTCAAAAGTTTTGGTGCCTTGTTCCCTGCCATCTGTGCCACTGTTCATTCCTGTGCAAAATCAGTCACTTTATTTTTCAACTCTTGAAAACCTATGAAGCAAAAAATTGAAATGGAGAGGCCAACATCACTGTGAAAACAATGAAACACCGCTGACTACATGCAAAAGCGAAATATATGCCTCTAAGCTAACGAGCATGATTCATTAAAAACACCTAATTCTTCTCATTTTTGGGGTGAATTTCACTGTCCCACACCTATCTTTTGTTTTCATATGATGTGGGATAATTTCAGCCAGTGGTAGTAACCACACCAAGCTGAGGATAACTATGTATTGAATTACCCATACAAACTAGGAAGTCATAATTTGTTGCATTACATCCCTCGCCACGAAATCAGTGATTCTAGATGATTTCATTAATTGTGTTTGACAGGTATGTAGGCACGTTTGAGCAAGCCTTTCTACCTACAATAAATGTTACTAAACATTAGGTACTGTGCAGAATGGGCACTCGTCCTCACAAAGATTCAATTTAAGCTCTTACCTTGGAGTCAAGATTCCCACTTTCCACCTGCACCAACACTTGAATTCTTAAGAACAATTGGCAACCCTTCGTACTTAGCGTTTATTTGCCTTTTCAAGTTTCTCCTTTCCGCAGTAAAATCACAGTTCACGTGTCTACGGCGCACTTTCATACGTGATGGATGTTTACCCATGCCTGGCAACTGAATATACAGGCAAAGCTTCAACGCAGAAGACCCTAGGCTATAAAGGACCAAGCCTAAATGTCCCAATCGAGTCGAAAAGTCCAATATATATTCGTAAAAACACCAACAACTACGTGCAGCTAGTAGGCAGGTAACGAACGTCTCCGGCACAACAAATCGCAACGCCGACCAAGCACCAACACGCGTCACATAAAGCGTCAGACATGTAACGAGCATGATTCATTAAAAACACCTAATTCTTCTCATTTTGGGGATGCAATTTCAGCGCCGAACGGCGCTGAAAAAGGACTGCTCAAGGAGACAAGCGGTAAAGGTTAAAATTGCTCCGAAACCTGAGCAAGACAGATTCTTATACAACTTTACTCCGTCTCGCCAGGTGACACCTTTTGGCTACTTGTGGCTGTCTCCTTACTGATAAGGAAACCAATACTAAACTCAGGGTCGTCGTGTATGATGCCAATGTTTGGCAATGTATGTATGCCAATGTTTTCGTTCATAACTCCAGAGCAAAACCGTTTTATCGTTGACAAATGGAAAGCTGACTTAGCAAGAAAACAGTTTCAGTCTGTGCGGGTGGCTCCTGGGCAGTTCGGTCCACAAATTTTCTGTTTCCCACCCTGGTAATCAAGTGAGCAGGTTTTTTCACCTCTGCTGAGCGGCGCCAGAGTGAGGTCGGCTTGTCACTGAGCGGTGCCAAAATGAGGTCACCTTGTCACTGAGCGGTGCCAGAGTGAGGTCAGCCTGGCACTAAGCGGTGCCAGAGTGAGGTCACTCGGTCCCCGGGTCGGGTTTTAGCGGTGTCAGTTGGTCACTAAGTGGCACCAGCATGATGACTCGGTCATTCTGAAGTCAGCTGGTCACCGAATCAGCCTTAAGGGATATCAGCTTGTCACCGTGTCAGCCTGGAGTGATGTCACCTGGTAACCAATCAGACTAGATTGATATTAGCTCGTCAGCGAGTCAGCCTAGGGTGATTTAACTCGTCATGAAGTCAGGCTAGAGTGATGCCAGTTGGTCACCGACTCAGATTAGGATGGCTGCTGCTCGTTAAGCAATGACGAACACTTTCAACGTGAGGTCAGCCAGCCACTAGCGCAAATATATGTAGGTCAAGGGTCCCTGACTCGGTTTGGTAAGCAGGGCTTGATCAGTTGGCCACGAAGCGGTGCCAGTGAGATGGTGATTGTGAGGTCATCTGACAAGCCGACTGTTGAGTCCGCTTACCTGAATCGTTCCGAACTCCGACGCACAGAGCGCGGAGCTGATTTTGACTCTGACTCTGGCTCTCAGGAATGCCGCGAATTTTTGCACCAATTTCGATTCACACTCGGGAGATATGCCTCAGTACTGGAATCGGTTCTGTTGGGAATTTGATGCCGGTAACAGCTTAATAGATAAGCCGTGCCATGGGGTTCGTAAGAGCATGCAAAAGCGCCTATTTCATGAAAAGTCAATCATGCGTGCATCATGCTTTTGATGCCCTTATAGAGGCTTAAGTGATGTATATATATATATATATATATGTGTACATATCAAGAAAGATAATATTATATGCTGCCATCTATCTTTGTACTTGAGGCGACTTATCCATGGCTCCAACGAATATCATTAAATGACGACTGAGACGAAGTCACGTGAACTACGAAGGGAACAGGCTCTACTCGACACAGAAATTGCCGTTTCCGGACTGAACGTTGGCTTCATTCGGAATCGAGTGTAGATTTGCCGGTCGGTCACTGAGTCTTACCGTTGTGAGGTCAGTCGGTGACCAAGCAACAGTGTGCAGTCAGTCGGTGACCGAACGACAGTGTGAGATTAGCCGGTGACCGAGCGACAGTGTGAGATCGGTCGGTGACCGAACGACCGTGTGAGATCAGTTGGTGACCGAGTGACAGTGTGAGATCAGCCGGTGATCGAACGACAGTGTGCGGTCAGTTGGTGACCGAACGACAGTGTAAGATCAGTCGGTGACCGAGCAACAGTGTGAGATCAGTCGGCTACCGAACGACAGTGTGAGATCTGTCGGTGACCAAGTGACAGTATGAGATCAGTCGGTAACCAAACGACAGCGTGAGGTCAGTCGGTGACTGGACGGCAGGGTGAGGTCAGCCGGTGGCCAAACGACAGTGTGAGGTCAGGCGGTGACCAAACGACAGTGTGGGGTCCGTTGGTGACCAAACGACAGTGCGTTCGGTCACTTTGGACAGTCGGTAACCGAGTGACGAGCGACAGTGTGAGGTCGGTCAGTGACCGAGCGACAGCGTTAAGTCAGTCTGTGGCCGAGGGACAGTGTGAAGTCAGTCGGTGACCGAGCGACAGTGTGAGATCAGTTGGTCACTGAACCATGCCAGTGAGGGATGAGTCGGCCAATGAACCATGCCAGTGTGAGATGAGTCAGTGGCCGAGTCTTGCGACTTAAATTCAATTGGCGCGTCGGGTCAGATTAGGGCAGCGTGGACAGCAGACCTCAAATATGTAATTAAGGCAATTCGCGGAGCCTGTAGGCTATTGCAGTGCGAAATCGTATGCTCGTAAACGCACCGTGGTTTGTCATCATTCCCGTATCCCCAGTCACAGCCAATATATTTGGTTTTGGCCAAGTGTGTTCGGCCCGGTGCGAGGGTTGCATTTCTCAATGACATTTTTGTCCGTGAAGGCAGCAGGTGGTTTTGGTCTTCCTGGCGTTTCCCGGCCTGCCGACTGCGACCGCGGCATTGCCGGCCGGGTAGCGCATGCTTTTCATGCCCGCTCAGCTTCGGCTTTGGCCCCATCCGCCCGCGTCTCCGCCGCAGGTCACGGAGGTCCGGAAGGACGTACACATGATCCACCACGAGATCGACCAGCTGCAGACGGCCAAGGACGAGATGGTGGACCTGCGTGACTCGGTGGACCGGCTGGAGCAACAGCAGCGTCGGAGGAAGGCCAGGTCCATCGACCAGGTAGGCCGGGACGTGGCCGCCGCCGCCGCCGGCGGCGGCGGTGGCGGCGGTTCAGGGCGGCCCGGGAGGGAGAGCCTTGCGGCAATGGCTGGTGCCAATGCGGCGGCTGTGTCTGACAACTGACGAAAGTCGAATTGAAACTGTCCGCGGTAGGCAGTGTGATGCGCTGTGCGTCAGGGACGAATGCTCACGCTCATGACTCTTGCTGGGTTATTTGAATGGTTGCCGTTTTGGAAGTCAGCTAGTTAGGTAGCTGAGTTATTAGTCATGCATGTCGCATTGTTTTATTGTCTTTTTCTCACAATTTATGGAAAAAGCGACTAAACACACTGCTTGGATGTGAGGAGCACACCACACCAAACATTTTGTTTTGTTCCATTGTATTGGTATTAAGTGCTGGACTGATTGCAGACAATAAGCGAGCGCTGTTCAGTATTGCCTATCCATATGAATGCACCACAGATGACTGGCACGAAACGTAATTTTGCACATCGGTAACATGTTCTGCATGCTAGCACGGGCTATGTTGCATTCATTATTCATTTCCATTGTTCTCGCTCATTTGGGAATCTGCTGAATGAATGTCACAACGACCTGACGTAATTACACTTTTCAAGCCTTAACAGGATTGCTGTCACGTCTGCATATGGCCCACCGTGCGATGCAGTGTAGTTATATTGACATTACGCTCCACAACGACAACACGGAATGTCGAGCTAAGGCCACGTTCAGTCATGAACCTGTTAACGCCCCTCACTGGCGCATGACCGTCATGGCATTCCCGATTTTGTTTGTTCAGACATCGTTAGACATCACGAGTTCATTTTAAGGGCAGGACACCAACAGGTCGCACGGCCCTTCGTCCCTACAATAAACACGACCATGAGATGCGCAGCGTGCTGGCTTTAACGCTATGTAGCACACTTAATCGAATCCTGACCAAGATTTCATGGGTGGCGCAATGCTCATATTATTAGCCGGCGTGTCGCAGATAGTGACTGGTCGGTGCCGGTAAAAGCCGCCCCATGTCGTTCCCCCCCCCCCCACCGGGGGGGGGGGGGGGTCGTTCCCCCCCCCCCATCGAGCCGCCACGACACGACGCTGGCATGTCCGGTGTCACCCCACCAGCTGCCAGAGGGCGTCCCGGCACGCCGCTGCGCCCATGACACCAGGGGCACCTCGGCCTGTCAGGTCAGCCGGCTGTCCCACGACGGGGCGGTCCTGCGGCCGGCCTCTCCACCGCCGACACCGAGTGGGAGGACGCGTGGTCTGGCGGGGAAGGGAGGCGTGATCTCGGTCATGTGGCTGTTGCGGCCAGGTTCGTGTACCTTTCTAAGCTCCGCGCCGACGGAAGCCGGGGAGAACGACTCGCGTCCGGTACGGCTTGGCAGGCTTGTGACAGTCATGCCTTCATTTTGTGGCGTCATTGGTAGAGCGCAGTCAGCCGGGTCGATTAACAGATTCAGGTCCTGGGGTTGTGGCTGGGGGTGGGGAGGGGCGGGAGGGAAGGGAGGGGAGGGGAGTGAGGGAGGGAAGGGGAGGGAAGGAAGGGCAGGGAAGGAAGGGTGAAGGAAGGGAGAGGAGCACGGGAGAAGGCAGCGAGGGAGGGAGGGTAAGGGGAGAGGAGGAGGAGGAGAGGGCGGAGAGAGAGTCGGCTCAGCTAGCCTGCACATTTGCGCCACCATAGTTTCCAGCTCTCCAATGCTTCAAGCACCGAGACGCCAGCTCTCCGGAAGATCTGACAGTCACTGGTCAGCATGCACACGCATTGCGATTAGCTTAGCCACTTCAAAAAGATAGCGGTTGATGCTGGATGGCTTACAATAAATTACGACGTGCGGTCTATGCGCCTGCAGTTCACAACTGGATGGCCTTCCGGCTCGGCTAGGCTTCCCGACTGATGCGGCTCTGTTGCAGGTCTGCGG